TTTAATGTTAAAAAATCATATTTCTGACATGGTTATATTCCAGCTATATTACTATAAACAAAACTATAATTTGATAACTAACGAGGACTGTGCCATGCATGGCTTGTTATGTGTTAATTTCTCAGACATTTCTAGACAGATTTTGTTCAGTGTTGTTACAAAGCAATAGTTGTCTTCAAATGTTTTTGGTAAATCTGTTTTGTATTTGTTTTCATCAGAAGAAGAAAGTCCTTACATTGATGTTGCTATCTGTGGTAACCGACATCCTCCTCCAGAACTGCCTCCTGCACCGCCGGGTTTAGGCAAAGAAGATATTGTGAGACGTCATATTGTTCAATGTATTATTGATAGTGAAAATAGTTACGTCAATACATTGACTAGACTTATACAGGTAATTTACAGTTTTAAATTAGTAGTTTTGTAGTATATCCTATAACAATCATCATACTGGCTTATTATTCAATTACACAAACTATCAACATTTTTATAGTCCTTGGGTCTCAAACTAATTTATCATGTTCAAAACAGATAATCACACAACAAAAGGAGAAATTGCGAAATACACTGTCATTTTTAGTTATTTCAAACCAGATACCATTATACTGAGTAGTTCTCAGTGTCCATACATTCGGAGTTCAACCTCAATGCTGCAATTGAAGCCACTTAGTCTTATATTTTACCCTTTGTATGTTCATGTTTGAGTCTACATCTGTATCTAGGACATGCCTAGATTAATTACATTTTAATCTAAGACATACATCATGCATCTTGTTACACATTCATTGATTTTGAAATACAATAAGCCATATTCCGAGATCTCACGTGGCCAAGCTTTATGTCCTTAGCAACCAGTTTTGATCACATGACACACAGTCAAGCTTTCCTCTAGATACAGTGGCAGTGCCATTGTTTACTCTGTTGCATTCTGTTCACACAACAATATCAACTGTACAAAAGTGATTAACTGTTAAATAGTGCTCTGAGAGTGATTCTTGATTTCATCTAAAGTATTAAACAAATGATGTGTTTTTTACTTGTTTCACAAAACCAAAAACACAACCTAAGAAATGCGATCGGTGGATCAGTGCCTGTTCTCATGCCGATGACTTTGAAAGACACCTGATCATGCATAACCCTTACAGTACTCGACCGCGTTAGTGCCCATTGTCCTCAACTCAGAAAATCATGATTTTTTGGGTGGTGATCGCTCACTGAGCACCCCCCTCGGAAATAAGTGCAAATGACAATATTAATTCACCATGTGACAGATTGAGGGAAATAATTTTACCTGCAACAACGTCTTTTGACCTAATGGGCCAAGTCTGTTATTAAGCAATCAGAATGCTGTGTTTTAACGCAATGCGGAAGTGAATTATCAATGTCAAAGTACTATATGTGGGAACTGATTTCAGCGAATAAACTGCATGATTTTTTCAACAACTGGTAACTAGTAATTTTTGATAGGCATGAATTATTTACTGCATTTAACCGGTCATTGTCAAAGCATAGTTTACACATGGTTACCGTGGTCTACAGTACACATTCACAACATATTCATGGTGGTTGATATCCACGCTGTATCATATAAAAACAATTACCTGTATTTGTTAAGCAATAATCCAAGACCAAGTTTTATGATTAGACAGTCAAGTTAGGGGCATTTTGGAAGGGATGGGTGCTTAGCTGAACGTGAACCCGAAATTAGAAGGGTCCCAAAAGTGGGGGAGGTGGCACTTAGCCGAGTATGGGTGTGTACATGTGTTCGCTGCACTTTATAGGAAGCAATAATCTGACATCGTCACATCTAGACCTGATACTAGCCACTGCAAGGAGGGTAGAATTCAATGTTGAAACACAATATTTACGTATAAGGCTCTCTTGAGCTCATATAAGTGTAAACAGAATGATAAAGCGAATGGATCACAAGCGTGAAAAACAAACAACGCACAACGTTATGCTAGGAGGTTGAACCATAGCTAGACCTGTGCCACGTGTCAAATTTAAAGATGGCTGAAAGATAGCCATTTTTGCACTAAAATTCATCAAATTAAAGCATTTCTATCAATCATGAACCTAATCCTAGTCATGTATGAACTAATTTGGTACATACGGTACATACATTAGATATTGTAGGATCTTGAGCACGATATATATAGATATTTTGTATTTTAGATCAACTTCAACTTATTCGGCTCCAGCGTTATATGATAGTTGAAGTGTTTGATTGGTTGAGGGGTTTCCAGACAAAACATCATGATATTTGTGAAATCACAGAATAGTTTCTGCAGGGTGTGAGGGACATGACAAGAATGTGATATGCCATCTTTCATTGTGTGACAAGAATTCTTGATATGAAATTAACAAGTAATGTATGTTACTTTCTTAGGAGTATGAGAAGCCATTACTGGAAAGCATGATTCTTGAACGTGAAAAAGTTTGTGCAATATTTTACCAAATCAGAGCCATCCATCAGTGCCATAGCATATTTCAAATAGCATTATCAGCTAGAGTGAAGGAATGGGACACTGTACAAAAACTTGGTGATGTCTTTGTTGCGTCAGTAAGTATATTCTGTATTTTTGCATAGTTTATTTTTTTTTTTAATAGAAGTGCCTTCTCTTTCAAGATGGGATGTGTTGTATGTATTCGATATCAGATTTCAGATTACTTGTTTTGCAGTTTTCTAAATCCATGGTGCTTGCAGCCTACAGTGCATATGTCAATAACTTTAATGTTGCTATGGATACAGTTCGGAAATCCTGTGCAAACAAGCCAGCATTTGATGAATTTCTCAAGGTTAGTGAAATACAAAATATCCCTCATTTCTAAACATTGTTATTTCTGCTAGGTTCAATATCATCAGGTCAATAAGCTATTTTTGTGGGAAACGAAGTTTTAGCTTAATGAAGTCAAAAATTTGTTTCAGTGAATACCAAAAAAAGTAATAATGGAATATGCTATTTTACTACTGATATTCTTTGTAAGTGTTTTGTTGTCCCTATTCAGACTGTATATTGGGACTTATGGATTGACCTCTATGTGTGTGACCTCTGAATGGCAGCCATTTTAATGTTAAAATGTTGTGGAGCTATAATATGTCATTAACAATCAAGTTCAAACTTTATTGATACAACATGTCGTATATATATTTATTTGATAATGGAATGGCAGCCATTTTAATGTTAAAATTCATCAAAATCAAGTATTTATTTGATTGTGCATGGATAGATTTCATTCAAGATGGGTTACATACCTTGGACATAACGATACTTTCAGATCTGATTGAAAAGGCATACTGGCGGCCATTTTTTTTAACAAATTATGTTCACTTTCAAACTTTAGATACATCATACATCATGTCACACATATATTTGTTTGATGGTCAGATTCAACATGGCCGGGTGGTGGCCATTTTAAGGGTAAAATTCATCAAAATCGAGCATGCTTTACAGATCTTGGTGTTATACACAGACAACTGTTGTCCATTTTAGTCCATACAATGAACATGTATATACAACAGAACCATAATTTTAATAATATAATAATAATAATAAGATCAGATTCAAAATAGCAAATGACAAAAGCTGTTCTAGAGCAATACCTCTGACAAACATTGACTGATCACAATCAAACTTTACAGCTTTATTATATGTATGTGTCATGTCCTGATTCAAAATGACTGATTTATTTCGTTTACAGGGATTCTTTCATATCATGACATGACTTGTTCAATTTTGGTACAAAAATCAAACATAATGGCACTTTGATGAACATCATTTTATTTTTCAGATGAAGTTTAAAATGGCTGATTAGTGGCCATTTTTTTCCCACTGTCATTCCAAGGCCAAATGTCTTAATTAATAGAAACTTCACAAGTAAATCATATTGTATATATGGATATGCATTAATTTCATAATTCAATTCAAGTGGCCGTTTCAATAATAAATTGTTTTTTCTCAGCACAGAACCAAATCTCGGTCACTAATGGATAATTGGTTCAAACTTGGTATATATGTATTAACTGTCATATTACGGAGATCAATTCAGATAATAATAATATAAATCACACTCCTTTTGTGGTCATTATTCTTAAAAAAAATATGTGGACCCAAAATTTAATAAATAATGAGCAACCCCTGAAACAACTCTTCAACACAATACAGCTGCACATTAGATTCTAAGAACAAGTTGAAGATAGCTACATTCTAGGCATAAATATAAATTTGATTCCAAAACATTATTTCTCAATTTTACTGAAAAAAACACATAGCGCTGTATGCTGCTATTATGTATGGAGTAATATGCATTTGCCTGTAATGATAATGAAGTGGCAAAGTATAGTGATCTGTCATCATCATTGTTGTCATTGTCGTTAACACTTCTTGTGGCAAGGGTAACTCAGGTCATTTTTAGTCCCCGTTCGGACGCAGTCCGAAAACGGGGACCTATGTTTTGCCCTGTGTGCGTCCGTGCGTCCGTGCATCCGTGCGTCTGTGCGTCCGTGATCACCTGTATCTCGAACATGCATGGACCGATTAAGTTCAAACTTCACTCATACATCACACATTATATGGGACATATGCACATGCATTTTTTTCATGATCCGATTAACGATAGCCGAATAGCGGCCATTTTAAGGCCGAAAATGCATCAAAATCGCACATTTTCACCATTCCGAACCCGGATCTCAGTTATGCATGGACGGATTTCATTCAAATTTGGTACATACATTAAACATAATAGGACCTTGATGCACGTCATTTTTTTTTTCCGGATCAAGTTCGAAATAGCCGACTGGCGGCCATTTTGTTTTAAAGAATTCAGTTCTGGATCCGTATCCGAGACATGTCTGGATTGATCAAGTTCAAACTTCACACACACAAGGTACATCATGTCACAAATATGTATGTGCATTTGTTTCATGATCTCATTAACGATAGCCAAATGGGGGCCGCTTTAAGGCCGAAAATGCATTGAAATTCGCACATTTTCACCATTCCGGACCCGTATCTCAGTTATGCATGGATGGATTTTGTTCAAATTTGGTACATACATTAAACATAATAGGACCTTGATGCACGTCTTTTTTTTTTTTTTCGATCAAGTTCGAAATGGCCGACTGGCGGCCATTTTGTTAAAGAATTCAGTTCTGGATCCGTATCCAAGACATGTCTGGATTGATCAAGTTCAAACTTCACACACACATGGTACATCATGTCACAAATAGATATGTGCATTTGTTTCATGATCTGCTTAACAATAGCGGAATGATGACCATTTTAAGGCCGAAAATGCATCAAAATCACGTATTTTCACAATTCCAGAACCGGATCTCAGTCATGCATGGATGGATTTTGTTCAGATTTAGCACAATGTGTTGTACATATGCAGGTGCATTTCGGTCATGATCTGCTTTGAATGTATATGTCTCTCAAATATGAACGGAACAGGGACATGTCATTGACAATGACTTGTTATTCAATCTTTCACAAACTTTGAAATATAATCAACCATATATAAAATATTAAAAAAATATATTTGTAACCATTATGGCATACATTTCATAAGAGTTTTGTAACCATTATGGCATACATTTCATATGAGTTTTGTAACCATTATGGCATACATTTCATATGAGTTTTGTAACCATTATGGCATACATTTCATAAGAGTTTTGTAACCATTATGGCATACATTTCATAAGAGTTTTGTAACCATTATGGCATACATTTCATAAGAGTTTTGTAAGCATTATGGCATACATTTCATAAGAGTTTTGTAAGCATTATGGCATACATTTCATCATAAATCACAGTACACATGTAGTCAACAAATCATGGGCAAGGTAATCAATAGTTTTACTATGTTTTTTTAAAGGAGCAACAAAGTAAAAACTCTGACAGAATGGACTTGGCTGGAATGATGTTAAAACCAATTCAACGATTTCCACAGTTTATCTGTCTACTGCAGGTAATAAACATTGTTGTATAAAATCTAACTTCAATTTTTGTAAAATAATACAATGTCAATTTTTACCTCTGCTGTTGTCTTTGTCGAGCAGAGCTTATCATATGATTGATCGTCCGTGTCAAATTTTCAGCTCCGCTGTAAACGAAGCGAAGCTCTTCACATTGCTGATTGTAGTGATATGTAGTCTGTCGTCAACCTTTTACATTTTTGTCTTATTCTTCAAAACCGTTAAACCAAATGCTTTTATATTTGCAACATAGATTCTTGGTTTAGTTCTCTGTTAGATTTGTTCAATTCTCTAATTTTGTTGAATATTTTTGGTAAAAAGTGATATTTCGACTTCTTGTTAAAAACCGCAAGTCTGATTGCTTTGATGTTACACATGTACCGGATTCTGTCGTAAATTCACCCATTTGAAAAATCACCCCAGGCGATCATCAGATATATTTGTTGGGAACTTGTATTTTCATTGAAAAATCCACCTATGCCGGCTTTCAATTCTGGCAGTTGGACCACCCATAACGAAAGAAACTATTGCAGAAACTAATCTAAAATTTTATACATTTTTTTCTTGCTGGATCAAAAAGTAGACCACCTAAAATTTCATTACAATGTCACCCAGTGCATCAAACAAACCTTGTGTGCCAAACACAATAATTTTCTCTTTTTATTAGTAACGAAAGGATATTCTCAAAGAAGTTTCAAATAAAAATGAACAGAACTGCATTACTTAGTAGCAAATGATCGCGGTAGTGCAATCCAGTCGTGCTGCATTTCACAATTGTTGATTGTAGTAGTAGTAGTGATTATAATACCATATCATATTTTTTCAAGATTGGAACACAAACAGTAATTTAATTTTCATTCATAGTATATGGTGGTATATCTAGTTGATGCCATTACCAGGTAATACATAAGAGTTATTGCTAAGCTGTGCTTGATTCAATTAGATTAAATTTATGCAAACATAAAATAAATGTTATCTTAAAAAATAAGGCCAACAATTCAACATGCATTGTGTATTACTTGTGGGAAAATATCTTCATGATTTAATCAAAAATACTTCATAAAACCAACAATTTTGTTCAATCGCTTTGTTAAATAATGTAAGTTTGTTGTCAGGACCTACTGCAGCACACGCCGGCAGGACACACAGATAGAATGTCATTGCAACTTGCATTGACAAGATTAGAAACTTTAGCTGGAAGACTGAATGAGAGGAAAAGACAAACTGAACAAAGACATGAAGTCAGACATGTACTGAAGAACCTCAATGTTAAATATTCAACCAAAGTAAGTACACTCTACATCCTTTCAAATATTATAATACTTACATACATTATTTTTACATTATTATACATGTTTACCGCATAAGGAAATATGAATTCCAAATATGGAACAATGATACAAGACTTGCAAGATGGCGGCCGTGTTTGATATCTTAGGAAGAAATTTTCAATAATTGTCACTATTTTGCTCAGGTCTCATTTCCATCTATGTAATCAAACACTTGTTACTCAGTGCATTTTATGATGTAATACACAATATACACTTGATTGTCGCACACAGAATGTAATACACAAAGTACACTTGATTGTCGCACACAGAATGTAATACACAATATATACTTGATTGTCGCACACAGAATGTAATACACAAAGTACACTTGATTGTCGCACACAGAATGTAATACACAATATACACTTGATTGTCGCACACAGAATGTAATACACAATATACACTTGATTGTCGCACACAGAATGTAATACACAATATATACTTGGTTGTCGCACACAGAATGTAATACACAAAGTACACTTGATTGTCGCACACAGAATGTAATACACAATATACACTTGATTGTCGCACACAGAATGTAATACACAATATACACTTGATTGTCGCACACAGAATGTAATACACAATATACACTTGATTGTCGCACACAGAATGTAATACACAATATACACTTGATTGTCACACACAGAATGTAATACCTTTTAATTGTGATAGTTTGTATTTCATCAGTGTACTTATAAGTACTAGACATCTAACCAAGAAGTGAATCATTTTTATTATGTATTATAAATTTTCATAATGTGAATCAAATTTGTTTCATGTTATGCATCTCAAATAGCAGACAAATATTATTTGCCAAGCTTCTTTTTTAAAAAGCAAATTTTAAATTTTGAACTAATTTAATGTGTCTCCAATACTCTCAGCACACAGGAGTTCTTTCTAAGCTTTCTTTGATTATTCTTTTTTTACCCTCAGGCTACAACAGCAAGCACTCGATGTTTAATACGACAGGATGACATGCTACAAAAAGTAAGTCTTGATATTTCTTTGATGCAATGTATTACGCATACTGTTAGCATACTGATGTCCGATTGTCTGCCTATATCATGTTGTTGTTGCATGCCAATATCATGATTTTATCTTCTTGCATGTGTAGGATGAAAACATCCCTTCAAAGAATCCTTCTCAGAAACTTGCTGTAATGTTGCTTTATTTTTCTCTTTTTCATTTCACCAGTTTTAATTTAATTCCATGTATTTGTTATTATTGGGGATGACTGGTTGATGTAA